GGTCACATTGCAAAAGACGGAATAGTCACAGAAAGATTCAAAAATGACAATATTTGATTCAAACATCGGAGTGAACTTTGATTCGCTGTCAGTGCTAGCCCACAACTTTTAATTAGCATAATCATCGGAGTGATTCCGCCCCGGTTTTCACTCCAATGCAGGGGGTCGCCTGTAGATGCGACCAGTCCGATTTCCTTCGCGGCCACGCCAGTTTTCGCGACCACGCTAAAAAGGCTAAATTGTAAAATAAAAAAGAAGTCCCGACTTTGCCAGTCTACAGTCAAGTGTGACACCAATATTGCGAACTGATAACGAAAAAGAGATAACAGACTTGCCAATGGACATCGTCGAGGGTAGTGAAGATCTAGATGCTACTTTTGATGAGCACACAAGCATAGCCTCGGTTTTTGAGTCACAAATTTGTAATTTGTTCTGTGTAATCCAATTTTTGATGTCGGTAATGCAAATCTGATTGTTGAACCAATTTGATGAACATTAGTATATAGTTGATCGTCATCGCAAAGGCTTGATGATTCACTGAATGTGCTTTAACAATATCAAAAAGCAGTTCTGTGTACAAGAAAAACACCGGTTCCAGAACTGAGCCCGGTGGAGCACTGAAGTCTAATGATGATACATCCGTCTGTGATCTTCTAGTCAGATACGAACCACGAATAGGCGAACGATGTAATGCCAAAAAAGTGTTTTAATCGATGTTGTAGAATCGTTTGGTCGATGTTGTCGATGGCATCGGAAAGATCCATTAAAGTCAAAATACTGACCTTCCCCTTGTCTACCGCGTCCAGAATGTCATTAACGATTTATAGTAAGGCGGTCTCTGTAGTGTAGTGTAGTGTATTGTAGTGTAGTGTGGTGTGATCAGTATGCAGACTGTAGTGGGTTCAATAGTATGTTGGAAATTACGTGGTTGTTTAACTAGTAGTAGGACGATTTTTTCTGTCATCTTCGATAGGAACGACACATTGAAAACGTTGCGATAGTTCCTTAATTCATCATGTTCGAGCTATGGCTTTTTAAATATTGGCCTTACGACGGCGGTTAAGTAAATAGATGGAAACATACCAGAAGACCTATATCCAGTCCATAGTCCATAAAGCATACAAGAACATAACTTAATTTGAATGATTCAAAGCCATATGCGGTTACAGCACAACTGCTACTGCTCGTTTTTAATTCATTTGGAACACTTAAATAGAGCATGATGAGTGCATATGTATTAATGTAATGTAATCGCTTTTTTACGGATATAAGAATCGTTCGATGCAAAGCCTTCTTGCGGTCTAGGCACATTGACGTCACATATGGACAAAATTAAAGCTAGCGTCGGCTCTCTATAGCGTCACTCAGTGTGTGGTGCAAAGCCATACGTCATAATGACGATACTACCCATAATTTTAGTATGTTTAATTCAATCAAGGTGAAGTATCTCCGCGATATAAGGATGTACATATCCTTCTGTTATTTAAGCAGCAGTCCCGTTGGTGAAGACATTGTATAAATAAGAGTGTAAATCCTAAATACTAGCCATGTGTCAACGTGATAAGAGTTGACAGTATGTCTTGGTCTGCGACTAACGAACTACGCTATTGCTTCGGTCATGTATCGTTATTAAATGAGCTTTAATTTGTTAAATCAGAACAACTACGCTTCTATTGATATGTATGTCCCCGTGGCACATTCAGTATTTTATTTTGAAAACAAAAAGTGTTTTGTGTGTGTTTACAATGTGTTTTAATTATTCCAATACATGTTTTTAATTTCTACAGTGTTCATTCAATAAAAACGGTGTGTTTTATGAAAAAAAAACATGAAAGTGCCCCCATAATTTACTGTGCATTAGAACAGAAAAAGTAAAAAATACAAAACAACAAAACGAAAGTTTAAATGGAGCTGCATTTTTCTTTACGTTCTTTTCTGATCGCATGCATTCTTGTTTGTTGTTGTTGCAAGGCAACATCTTTGATGAGACGTGTATCAACAACAAGACGCCAACAAAAACTGTTATATTCCAATGCATTCGATGATGCACATTGGTTGCTAACATTTTGTTGCCTGGTACGGAATTCGTTCAGATCTTTCTCAAAATTGCCATCGTAATTTTTCACTTTTTCCCAAAATGTATGATTGAAGTGTTCATACAGAAGAAAATCTGCATTGCTCCATTTCCTGATAGATGATTCCATTTCAGGAAGAACAGTGTCTTTAGGTTTACGCATTTTTACTCCATGGTATACAAGATCATCGAATTCCCAACAAAGCAACTTTTTAAGTAAGAGTATTGACTCGTCATAATATTCCATTAACATGACCAAATCAAGTTCCTGGTCCAGTTTGCTGATAACCTGTAGTATATATGTGTTGTTATCCCGTTGGTTCATATCAAAACGTGGATCTAAAAACCACATTTGTCCATTTCTATGTTGCTGAAGGCGATGAGTAAAATTGTTGTATTTTTCGAGGTGCATAACAAATTGTGTGAAAGTACTATTTACTATTGTAGAAAATTTGAACCAGTAGAATGCTGATCGCAGATGTGTGTACGGCGATCGGAGAATAGTGAAGTATTTAGCGTTTGGTATTACATTATCAATTGCTGATCTGTTGAGCTGTATATGAATGGCTGAAAAATCAATTGCAGTGAAGTTGATGCAACGCGTATCGCGAAAATCGGTTTTACCAGCTACTGTCAGATTATTCTTCATCCCATATCTTAACATGATATTTGCAGTGGTACTACTACCTGTTTTCATAGTTTTAATAAAGACGAATTTGGATACTGGTTTGCATCGTTCAGCGGCTTTCCCGTCTGAGTTAAAACCAACACTATATGTTCTTTCTTGACCTTTGATGGTGGAATGCAAGTTCTAAAAGCAATTGAAAATACCGATTTATATATCTGACCATTCGTATAGCAAATCAACTAAAAAACTTTATGGTGGTCAATGCTATCAAAATTTGAAAATTAGTAACAGATTATGCATCTCTGTCATAACTATTTAAAACCTAAGCCATTTTACTAGAGTAACAACGAATTCAAGTCTGGCGCAACGACACGAAGAGCGTACACGGGTTGAACATTTTCTATATGTAAATTATTAATGATAATGTCAAATACTGTGACAATGTGATTGTGAAATCAGAGCGAGATAGTTTGATATAAACATAGTTGCTGGAATAAAGACGGTTGGAAACTAAAATGTGAGATAATGCATCCTACCTTTGTATTATATGTGCCATGCCATAGTGAGTGAGTGTTTTGTTTTGTCGTTACTACAATAAACAGAAAATACACACATAAAATAATTATGTCGGGACGTTACATATATGTGACCAATGCCGATTGTGCATACATTTGTAGTGTGTAGATGGTTATAACGTTCTAATAAGGCTTGAAATATGAGTGTTAAATA